GAAGACAGGATAAAGACCACACTGTCAACGGTCCTCCACCTGGCATTATGTAGTGTCCCGCTAGCTATTCCCAATGTGTGGCTTATTCTGCTCTGAAGCTGCGAGTTCAATAGCATGTATTGCCAGGAAGACGACTTTCACCAACTCTGCTCTTTCTCAGAGGAGGACAATTTGGCTCATACATGCTTGAGTCGCTTCCCCACTGCTTTGCTCTAAAGTGTTCTGCATGAAGCCATCTCTGAAGAATGTCAAGAATACCAGGACCCTGGTATTACACCAAATAGGGAAAGTAGTCCAGCCTCAAACCAAGAAGCAGTTAACCAACTGAGTTAGGTGAATTGGTGAAAATGAATTACCTCCTCTCAAAGCCTGATCATGTAAGCATATCTCTACATGCTAAAAACATCCATACAGCATAGAATGCAGATTGTACAGGAAGTCACATCATTCAGGACCGAATAACCAAATCTGTCTGGGCCTCTGAAGACTTTTGGGCTGGGTTCAAACAACACAATAAGTTATGGTGGTTTTTTTACCATTGTTGGTCTGTCATGTTGTCTGAACTCAGTTGTGAAAATCCAACATGATCAGCGGATTTGTGAGAAACTCTGGTTTGTGTTCTGCTTTCTCCATGCCACCAAGGCTTGTTGTTGTCTGAACCAAGGATCGGGGATTCCACAGTCATAGTATGCAATTGCCATAGAGTTCCCTGGAAAGAGTGGCAACTGCAAGAGCTGCTCCAGCCATTCAGCCTGTCTGTGTGAACCAGTGAGAAAGAGGCAGGCAACACAGGCAAGAAACAATGAACCGTGAGAACTGCAGCGGATGCTCAGCTGTGCCAACAGGAGAACTGAGTGCAGAGGATGGAAACCATGATAATGTGTAAACTACTTGACCTCAGTCGGGTAGATCATGGTAAAAAGTGTGAACCATGGTGATCGTGCAGGGTTGCTTCGTGATTTTCTAACGCAACCATGACCATGTATGTAGAAAGTTCTGTTCAAAAGTACACAGAGAGCGATGTTTATTGAAACTTCCCACATCTGTTCAAAATATAAAATACTACATTGTCTTCACCAATTCAGCTGCAAACTTACAGGCCTTGGCAAATGAAAAATAAGATATATACATGGAAATGCATGTGCATATAGTCTGTGAAAAGAGCCTCAAGCAACATGCCAGAGATGTAACTCTAAAAAAGACAAGGAACAGCAGTAGTCATTACCAAAAGGTTAACCTAAATACTAATAAGATCTCTTAGGATCTTTCCTTCCAGGAACCTACAAGCTGTTGACATCAATTCTGAAGGTGTGCCACTGGCTCCCAATTAGTTTCTAGGCCCAGTACAAATTGTCAGCGTTGACCTTCAAATTTCAAAATGGTCCAGGATACCTGATGCTACATGTGGGTACCCCATGGGCCGTATGTTGCATCCAGCTGTGCGGCCTGCACAATACCTGGGCACCCTTCCTACCTTTCTTGCTGATCCACCATCATCTGGGTGGCTGGAAATAGCAATCCTTATGAGCACCATGGGAAAGTGGGATGGGAGGCAGCTCAAGCTGAGTCCTCCAGCAATTTGGACAAAGATGCTATTTCTCCACTGTGAATACAGCTGTCTTGGGCAGGTACTTTGGGGGAATCGTCCAAACCCATACTTTCCTCTATATCTTCCATCCCATATTCTCATATAGTCAGGAGAGAAGCCACTTTTAGTGTTTTGACCTTCAGAAGTGAGGCTGGTAAAATTCACAGAAGAGGGACTTTTCGGTGGTGGCTCTGTTATTGCGAAGTTCCCTGCTCAGAAGATAGTCAAGCCTTATTTTGGAAAACTTTGGGAGCAATAGAGGCTGATTTGATCATTCTTGAATCTTTAATTTTACGTAGTTTGTTAATAGGTCTCATTTTTATCATTTTGATATAAGAGATGCTCATATATTTGTGTTTCTTTTAATCTATTTTCTTGAATTCAGCAGATCTTTTTAGGCTGTAAAGTGAGCTTTGAAAAAAGCGTTCACTGGAGTCTTTAAAGGTACATATTTTAGGATGCCATTATTGTCTTGGTTGTTAGAAGATAAACAGGAAACTTGTAGAATGAAGCATTCGGGTGTAGCTAATTTCTGCTTTTAGAACTGGCTTTCTCTCTCATGGTGACAGGAGAATTTTGAAAAGCTAAGGGAAAAACTGTTTAAGATAGCAAGAAGAAACCCAAGTGTACTATGTCCCTAAATTCTCATAACTTCTAAATCCATACATTAAGATTTCCCAGGTGCTGGCAAAACATGAACATGTGCCTGATACAACTCTAATGTATATATCTGTCCCCCTCCACTATGTTTTGGGGCTCTTTTGGTAGAAAATATGAGCACAACTGGGAAGGAGGAATGAAAATAATTCCTTTTTATATTCCAGTGAAAACTCAGCCAAGTATTCATCAGCAATAATGCTCTATGTTGTACACAAACTTTGGTAGAAAATATAAACATGTTAGCACTGTTGGTCATGAAGGACTGTAATAAAAATGGTTTGCAATAAAAACAGGACAAGGAGTGGGTGGGAAGGAGCTTTTCCCAAATAAATAAAAATAAAACTATCTGCTACAGGTTGATGCCTCACAAGTGTTTATCGTTCCTTATAAAAAGTTGGTAATGAGTGAGGCTTATTTGATTTATATCTTATCATATTTATACCCATGATGGTTTACATGGTCCTTTTCCTCCTCTCCATTTTTTATCCTCACAACAACCCTGTGAAGTAGGTCAGGCTCTAGATTAGTGAACTTCATGACTGAAGAATGTTCAGAGTCCAGATCTTCTGAGTCCCAATCCAACACACTAACCACTACACCGTACTGACTGTCTTTGATATCCGCCAATACACTTAACAATTGTAACCCCCTCCTCAGAATGATCACAGGTAGTTCTCAGCTCAGTGCAGTGTCTTCCCCAAGAGGCTGACAGCTGTTTTTCACAATCTGCACTTTGAGAATCCCTCTGAGGTGCCCAAGCAGCAGTGTGGAAGGGCTCTCTGTGGTTACCAGCCACATGTTGGTGTTGGCTCAGACCCCCTGATGAGTGCAAATATTTTTGCATGCCATTATTTTTAGCATATTTGGGGTCCTCACAAAAATACACCTGCAGAGTTGGAGAGGTGTGAAAATGGGCAGCTTCATTTGAACAATGTCCAAAGTGCAGGAGGCAAACTGGCCATTGACTCAGAGGGGCTCCAACAGCCCTTCTTCACCCTTTGCTCTGCCAGCTGTCAAAACACCCACTGTCCAGCCAACCCAAAGAAGCGTGTGATCTGTGCCCATGAAAAGAGAGTCGTAGGATCTAGATTGCCCTTGCAAGAAGATCCTCCTCTTTTTTCTTCCATTTTGAATGTCAATATCCTAAGGATGCTTTCACTTTCCACATACCTGAGTACCTCCAGTCTCAACAACAAGTGGAAAAGTAGGAGCACCCTTAGGACAGTCGGACCAGCGAAGAAAGACGTTGGGATCTTGTCCTGAAGGAAGTGTAAATACAGTGGTACCTCGGCTCACGAACACCTCAGTTCACGACCAATTTGAGTTGCAAACGGACATTTTGGCAAAATTTTGCCTTGGGTCGTGAACTCCGCATTGGGTGGCCTTCGCGATCGCGCCCGTCTTCACCGCACGATCATGCTGGGGGGTGGGGGAGATGGCTGTGATCATACTCTAGGGGGTGGCGTTAAAAAATTGGTTACAGAATGGATTAACTTTATTTACATTGAAACTTATGGGGAAATTTGACTTGGGTCAAGACCAATTTGGGTCATGACCAGGGTCCTGGAATGGATTAAATTTGTGAGCCAAGGTACCACTGTACAGCTATTTGATGTTTGCAACCATGGGTTACTTGCGATTAGATTGGTTTCAAAGATGGTCTATCAACACTGGCCATCAGCAGCAGCTGCCTGGACCAGCTTGGCAACAGCATCAAGGAAGTTCACCACTGCCACCAAGATGCTCACTTGCTATCTCCCTGTACCCACAATGGGGTTGGTCACCTGAGGCTGGATGGCACAGCAGCCTGCTATGGGCATAACAACCCTTACCGCAAACCATGGTTTGTCAGGGTGACATGTTGCCCACAAAGAAGCCATGCTCCAGGAAACTTTGGGGGGTCACACAACATGACAACCCACCATGGCTTGTCATCTGTGGCTCATTGTGTCATGTGAATCCGGTCACATACTTAAGCAACATGAAAGGGGGCACAGTTTGTTTATACCTGGATCTGCCCCAACCAAGTATAAAGGAGGGGGTCTGACTTTTGGAGCATAAAGGAAATGAAGCTGGCAGGTCCTGGGGGCAGTGGGGAGGGAGGGGGGAGATTGCCCTGATATATTTCTCTGAACACAAGTTCAGGAATCTAGAAGGGAGTTAGCTGACAAGAAAGTCCATGAGGAACAAAGGATTGGGCAGAAGGAAGTTTTCACTGTCCGTTCTGTTCTCTTCACCTCCAGTTTACCCACAATGGGGAAAGACCCTGGCTTAAAAACGGCTCTGTTGCCATCATCTGTCCTTTGAAACCAGCAAACACCTATTAATACATTTCCGTATTGCAAATCTGAATATTTCTGTTATATGCACCTAGCTCCCACCTTTTGGAGATGTTTGAATCATTAGCTAAGTTCAAAGACTCCTTACCAATCATTTCCATAGCTATTGTTACTGAAAATCATTTGAAAAATTAAAATCTGATTTTTGTCCATCTTCTCAATCATCTTCGAAGTATAGCTGTAAATGGATTGTTTCTCTGTCATCCCAGTTTTGCATGACCAATGACAGAATTAATCTCTGCAACTTGTTTGTTTCTTTTTAAAGCTACTCTGCAATAGGCCTCTTCATTGATTAACATTTGCTTGTCTTAGCTGACGATAATCGTTACTTTTTTCCTCCAGATGGAGTTGCTTCACTAATTCTTTCAGCTCTCCAGAAATATTTGTGATAGTTCTAAAATAGAAAACAACAGTCACTCAAAGAGGGGACTGTAGTCAGGTGGGCTCTTTGTCTGTCTGCAAGGCTCCAGAAGCAGTTCTCCACCAGAAGATGTGATGACTTCTTCCTAGAAAGATAAAATGAGTCGGCTGTATAAAAAGACTTCGTGTTGAACTACAAAACCACAGTGCTAAATACACATCCTTCTCAGGAGACATGCGTAGGATGCTGCTGTCCTATGTGTTAAGTTTGAGGATGGATTGGTAGGATTAAAGTGGGGGAAAGAGGGATATTAGCATGATTTTTAATATTTGGGAGCAAAGGAGGGGAGATTCCTAGCTAGCTATCCAAATCTGCTCCCGAGAAGGTAAGCAAGCATTACTTCTAAGGAGGAAGGAGGGAAAACCCAGGTTTGTGGCTGAACTACATGAATAGCAGAGTCAGAATGCATCTGTCAAGATCAGCACATCTGCAGAGGAGCTGAAGGTCTGGATGTTCTCCTGCATTAAAATAGCTCCCAGGACATACAGAGTTAGCAAGACGCAGAGAAGTCCTGACTGGATGGCTGCATGTGTGTCTATGAGCATACGTATGTTTTCACAGGGTTGTTCGGTCATATCAATGATTAGTATTGTTTTTAATTTATTTTTAATTTAATTTAATTAATAGTCTGATCGATATGAGTTAACTTTTTCATTCAAGTACTTGATAGTACCCTTGAAGTGGTACAGTCCAGCAGGAGGCATGTCACGTCACTCAGCTCACATCTTAAGGTTCAAATAGAGATAACCTGAAGTGCCTGACCCTGCCTAATCTTGGAAGCTAAGCAGGGTCAGGCCTGGTTAGCAACTGGATGGGAGACTTGAGTCCTGCATGGAGCAAAGGGCTGGATCCAATGGTCTTCTAGGCCTCTTCCAGCTGTATGATTCTATGATCTGGCAGCTAAACAAAGAAATGTAGAATTTGTGTAGGGCTATGAGCAATGTTTAATCTTTCAAGCTTGGGTAGTTTCAGTGAAAAGAGACGGTTGCTCATATGCACATATCCTTTCCAGGGAAGGGGGATATCTTCAATTTGTGTGAAATAAACATGCCCTGGGAAATAGCAGCTCTTCTCTTTCTCCAGTTAGGAAGCTGCATTAACTAATCGCATTGCTACCACAGAATGCATTATTAACCCATTCCCATGCATCTTTGCATTGGAGAGAGCTTTCTTTTCCTCTGCCAGCCCCTCATCTTTTTAATGTGTTCTCTTGTCTCCTGCTTATGCACAGCTGAATTCCTCATGTCTGAATCATCTTGGTGCTTATACATAAACTGCACTCATTCAAAACATTTTTAAAAACCCATTAAAATTGGATTTATTTTCTTCAGCCGTGGCTTACAGGCCATTACTCAATGAAGAAATGATTTCTTGTTGTGCCTGGCACATTAGGATTCCTCAAGGGAACAGAAAAGGTGGGTTTTCCCATTTCTTCCTTTACATACATACATATTTACAAAGCCAAAGCCAGAGATCAGAAAACAAGCAAATGAACAAGAGTTGCAAGTTGAAAGGACACATCTTACTGAAATGAATAGCAATGCTCTTGTTGATTTTCATGGAGAAAGCAAGCATCTTATGGAAGGATATCTCACAGGATGCCCAAGTATGATGTCCAGTGACATAGCAGAAAATCTGACACATGGGCACCCATCATGTCCATTCCCTAAGGAACCTGTGTCTAAAGAAAGTCCAAAAATGTAGGCAGGTGTGTTGATTCAGGTCAACCAACCAGTTCTAGTGATTCGGCTCCACCAGGAGGAGCTCTTTGGTAAAGTCGTTTGCCCATTCAAGACTGAGCCACCCAAGTTGCAAAACTGGAGCGATTGCTCAGAAAGACGTGTTGTTGTTGGGGAAATTGATTTCCCCAAAGCTATTGTGAGCATTGCAATGAAGTTTGGGGAGGGCAGGGGGCTGGTGACTGATGTGCATCTCCACTGACCCAGTGAGCCCTGGTTCCATTACATCACTGTGGATGCATGAATATCCCATTTCTTCTGAGTACATGTGTATTGGACTGCACTGTCAGCCCCTTAATTACCCTTCCCCAATCAGGTGCCCTCCAAATATTTTGGACTTCAGTTCCCATCATCCCAAAGCAGTGTGTCTAATGGCCAGAAATCCTGGAAGGTGTAGCCCAAAATGCCTGGAGGGCACCAGGTTGAGGAAAACACGAAAGAAGTGAAATGATGCAGCACATTGCATTTCTATGAAACAACCTACCCATATTAGTTTTTTAAAACATACTTTATTGCTGCTTTATAAGCTCTATTTTTTCCATTTAGAGGGAGAGTGGAGATGGGGCAAAGACAAGACTAAATGAAATTTGTTCAGACAGTTAATTCTGCCTCCGCCAACATAAAATGATGAGCTCTTTCTATTTTAACTCTTCTACTTATGGGCAGAGATCCTGAAATAGAAAACATTCATACACATTAAGAACATGGCAACCCTCTAATACAGGTGTGCCTATAGAGTGGCATGGAAGAGAGATAGCTCCCAAAGAAGCCATTACCTAGATTACTGGGAGCAGGTCAACCAGCTCTCCCCCAATTAGCCCAATAACTCTCCATAAGTGTTTGGCACTTCCCCCAGCAGTTCTCCATGCCTCGTGCTGCCCAACTTCAGCTGAGCAAATCCAGGATCAAGAAAAATGATTATCTTCAAATCTGGAGACAAGTATCTGAGACAGAAAGGACTTATGGGGTATATCCACCCGTCTCACTGTTTTCAGGGCTATTTTCCTGCCCATAATCTGCAGCAGGCGGGGGGTGGCGGTGGTGAGGAAATGGGGATCTCTTAGGATTGGTAGTGATGCCTTCCCCACGGCAGCTCTGATACAGCCAGGTGTACTTTGCATGGATGCATGGAACATGGCAGCAACTTCCTGTGGGTTCATTGGGGGGTGATCTCCCTCTAAAACCAAGATACCTGCTTGTACCTTGATGGGTCAGAACCACCACCACTGGTACTACTTTCCACAGGGCAATGAGAAGCATACGGATGTTGTTCTCCTTTTTGGCAACACGTTCAAAAATAAACAACAGGATTTCATCACAGAAACAAGGCTGAAGGGAGCCACTGCCACAGCTGGCTCTGTCCTTTTTCTGCATTTATCGCTACGTTGCACTCAGATGGAAAGGACTCCAGAGCATGTGGCTGGAAAGATGAGGAAAGGGCTACATCTCAAGGCAACTCTGTTGTCTTATATTGGGTTCCCATCAGGCCACAGACAATTAAGGGAGAACTGCTTGCGCATGTCAGGGGGAAAGTAAGTCCTCTAACGAGCTTGTCATAGCTGCAGCCATTGATTTTCCTCATCAGGGGAGATCCCAATCTATATTATTTTGAATGTCAGAGGCTAATGGACATTTTGGTCCCGACAGGTGTCCCAGTGCTCCTTCCCTAGATGGATGGTCTTTTTGCACATTATTATTATCTATGAGGAGCATGCAGGGAGCAGGGAAGAGACAAAACTTTTATTTCAAAGCTGGACTCCTCCAGAGAAATATGTTGCTGCAATCCTGGGACTCCCACTGTCTGCAACTGGCAGGGCTATTTGGCATTGGTCTTCAAACACTATTCAGTGCTGCGATTCTGCAAGAATGCAGATGGGGGCAGGGCCCAGAATTCAGCTTCCGAATTACCTTGCCCTGTGTTCCTTTATTAAATGCAAGATTCTACTGCTTTCTTTTTATTTATTGTTTATTTGTTGCATTTCGAATCCACCCAATCACTAATGTCCCCTGAGTGTATTGCAAACAAGTTCCAATCTTTCTACTTGCAAATATACCAATGGAAATGTGTAGGTAATACTTTGTGAAATGTTTGATGCTAAGGTTTGGCCTTGTGTGATCTCCCTGCCTCTCCCAGAGCACTGCTTTGCCCCTGGTTCCCTAAAGTTGGAAATGGCCTCACTTGTAAAGATGATTTATTATTATTATTATTATTATTATTATTATTATTATTATTATTAGCAGCAGCAGCAGCAGCAGCAGCAGCAGCAGCAGCAGCAGCAGGACATTATGATACTACTCCACTCTCTCTTGAGTGATTCATCTCTCCAGTTCAGTGATTGATCTGTACATAGCAAGCCCTACCTTGTGGAAATCAATAAGGTCTGTGAGTGTGGCATGTCGGTTGGGATCCACTCCTAAGAAGCTGTAGAAATCTCCAGAAGCATCCACCAGGAAATGCTTGAAGCCATTCTGGTGGCGATAGGACAGGGCGTAGCCCCAGATTTTCTCACTGACCCGCACAAGGAAGGCTCCTTCAGGCCTGTTCATCAGCAGCTCTTCTGCCTCTTGGCGGGTGATAATGCCTGCCAAAAAGAGAACAAAAATGGAGCCATGCAACCAGTGGTCATACAGGACAGTGTCAGGCTGGAAGCAAGCATTAATCACACACCGAAGGTCTTAGGTCACCTCCAGAGATTTTGCCTTTACCCAGGCCTGTTCACTTCCACCTTTTGACATGTCCAGCTCTAGAGTGAGGGGCTGTGTTGCTCAGGGTCCTCCAAATGACAGACTGGGGACTTTTCCAGGGGGATAGGAGACTGGTGGCGGTGCTTTGCTGATAGAGTAGAAGTTCGCCTTCTTTCAGAGAGGACCACCCTCCACTGGTGGGCCACCTTGTTCACTTCCAGTTTCTCTGGTTTCAGGATAAAGTGCCCTAAGAATTTCTGGCCATTCAGTGAATGCCTGGGCAGCAAATTGAACAGGTAGGCACACAGGTGGCCTGGCTGCAGTCTCCCATACTATGGAGAGACAGGTGCTCCTTACATTTCATTATTTATCTCTACATTTGCATCTACACACATAAGTATGCCAGTTCTAAGCATATCAGTTTCCTCCTGGGTCCTTTTTTTGGTGATGCATTTCCTCTTCTTTTGGCTACGCACTAGGATGGAGGGTGGGGGAGTGAAGGGCTTGCTGTACAGGCAACTGAGAGATTTCATTCTGCTTGCCAGCTAAAGGTTGGGGCTGCATATGCCTGCTCCCTTTGGCACTCAAGGACTCAGCTCTTGCAGACCCAGGATGTTCTACTGGCTAAATCCCAGTTTCTGGTTTCTGGTTGAGATCTCAGAGCTCTGCTGTCTTCCTATCTTTTCTTGCTAACATGCTAACTGCGAAGAAATCCTCCAACTGAATCTCTGGAATTGGTGCTTTGGCCCCAGCCAAGGCCAAATATCATGAGGTCCAAATTATGGATCCACACAACCCTTCCCCATCCTGATGTCCTCCAGATGTGATGTCCTGAAATGCCCATCATGCCCAATGCATGTTCTGGCTGGGAGTGATGGGAACTGCAGTCCAATGCATCTGGAGGACACTGGGTTGAAGAACGCTGATCTACAGTCTTGGGCCAATACTTGGGTCTTGGGTAACTTGTGTATCTCCAGGAAAGTGCTCTGTGCATCACCCACACATCACAGCAACATGAAGCACCTGATCAGTTGAGTTTGTTGTTCCCACTTCCCAGCATGAGCAAAATATAGCAGCCAGCCTTCCTTTCATCCAGGCATGTAACCACAAAATGGTTAGCTAAAAGATCAGCCAAAGCAGTCAATTATTAAACATTCCAGAAGTGCACAGGAAGTATTTAGATCTGCATAATTCTGCCTACACATTTGTGAGGCAGGCAGGAACAAACTGCTGTTGAACCCCATGTGACACCGACTGCGTGAAGTGGCATCATTAGATTCCTAATACAATGTGCCACATGCCAAGAAGAATCATACTGGAAATAAACGCTCTGTTGCAGTACGTTGTCAAGTCCCTGCCTCTGTGGCTTTTTGGATTATTTCATTCAATCTCTCTCTCTCGTTCTCTCTCTCCCCTGCCACCAAAATGCAAACATTAGGACCAACAATGGTTACATGATGTTCCTTTTCACATATGATTATTCCACTAAAAAATAGAGGTGGATCATATCTGTCCTGAGTCAAGAGTGTTGCATCGGCCAGAGTAATGCCATCCCTTTGCCATCTGCTGAGATTTATTTTTTAATGATTGACATTCTGCATGGCACCCTTCCAATTCTCTCACGGTGATGCTCCCATACAGGGGCCTAACTTGTCCATCAGACTACCTGTGCTAAAGGAGGATGCCCTACCACTGTCAAAGAGTGATTACAACCACAAAAGGTATAGCTAGAGATCAGTGAGAAATTTTTTCCAGTTCGTTTTTGAAAAGAATTTACCAAAATTTGCAAACATCTTATGTGAATTGAAGTGTGTTCCTTTCGTGCATTTCCCCCCCTCCTTTGCCCATTCTGTCTTTGGTTCCATTCACTCACCTTTCTGCTTAATCTTAATGACCATGGGCAATTTTGCTCATGAGATTCCAAGATGTCATCATAGCAAGCATAGCATCAAGACCTCCTTAGCCCCATCACACAGGTTGCTACAGCGGATGAGATTCCATGGCGGTACAGACAATGCAGTCAGGGACAGAGAGAGCAAAGAGGACAGCAACTGGAAGAATATTGATATTTTCCCAAGAAGTGTTGAAAAATACATCTAAATAGTAGGCACTTTTCAAGGCTTGTGAAAATGAACAAGTGCACAAATCTGATAGATCATGGATGATGGATGGATAGATAGCTAGATGATAGCTAGCTAGATTGATTGACTGCTTTTAAAGGTTTTCAGATGACAGAGCTGTAGAAGCTCTTTGCATGAGGCCCTGGAGATCTGGTAGAGTAGGCCATTGATCTGACTTAGTATGAGGACGTCTCTCAGAACATCTGTTTAGCAATGATGATTCAGCTGAAGAAACTATGATGACATTCTAATTGCATTGTGCCTGTGGATTATATTTTGCATCTTGCCCTTCCTCCAAGGAACTGAAGAGGTTTTCCTGATCTGTTGCCTAAGAGGTAGGTTAGGCAGAAAGAACAATCTAACAAGATTCATGGCTCTGTTTTTATGTCCCAAGCAACACCACTCTTCTGAAGATGCTGTTGGGATGGACACAAACTGAGCAAACACCATTCCAGCCAAACTGCAGACTGGAGCAAACATATAAAATTGGAAGACTGAGTTGGCAACCATCCAGCTTTTCATTGGCTATCCTTCTCAGGCATATACCACCAAATGTGGCCAAAATCTGGTTGCGCCATTCCATGCAAGCTGTTCACCTCCTCCTAAATCCCACCACTGGGGGAAAAACATTGCAAGCCACAGCAAAACCTGTCTTTCCTGTCAAAGTACAGTTTTCATTCCTAGGCACTGGTGTTATTTTACAGGTAAGAAAGAATCCAAGCTTAGGCAAGACACGTTTGTTTTCATCCTCTTCGCTGCTCCTCTCCCAAAAGGAGCTGGTCTGATTTCTCATGATCTCCCATCATTTCTCTTTTATTTTGTGTGTGTGAGGGAGGTGTCTCCCAATACTTCCAACAGCTTCAGGAAGTTATACCTTCTCTGAGATTCAGTTTTCCTCATCTCTTTATTTTAGTTTGCAGCTATCTGCCATTTGCCAAACATGTGTTAATTAGAAGAATGGAATCTTTATCCTCCCTGCTTCAAATCCATCATCCCCCACCAGCCTACACCGCACCATTCTCATGACAACCAGAAAGCATATAGAGCAGAGGGGGAAATTCACAAAGGTATCGCTCCTCACTTTGGGATGGTTATTGAAAAATAAACATCATCTGTGGAAATCCTACCAGAGCATTGAAAACGTCTGAATGCTCAGACTTTGCTCTTTGTTCCTTTGTTCTCTCTTATTCTCTTAAGGGTTCCTGTTCTGAATCTTCGATGCCTTTATTAGTGTTATTTAGAATATATGAACTTCTGCACTGACCTGTTCCCTTCCCTTGTTTAATCCTTTAGTTTTGCAGAAGATACATCTAAGACCTTATTTGCAACTGGTTTAAAGAGAAGAAAAGTGGCATTCAGACCACGACCTGAGCAATAATGTTTGCTTACTTGCTTGCTTGTTTAAACTTTTATTGTAAAAACAGATCTCCTTTTTAGTGTGTTTTCAGTTCCCCTCACCATGACCTTTTTTTTCTGTTTTTTCAAGCCCTGAATACCAAGGCATCTCCTGATTGTGCGTTTAAGCTCCAAGCATTATACCTGCATGGGAATTGGAACCCCGGTCTTCCTGAGCCAACATTCTAGGGATGACTATGGCTATTAATATTTCAGCTCTATGATAGTTTAACTTGAAGCATTAAAAATCTACAGAAAATGCAGAGAAGCAGTGCAAACTCAATCAAAGACAGCTGGCCCTGGAATCTAAACTGCTGGGGGATTCACCATCTGCTGATATTGAAGGCTGAATTCACAGATTCACTAGCAACAAAGACTGCCAGACACGCTTGTTCTTCTGGTAGCCAAAGCACAAATTGCAGCTGGGAAGAAGCATTAAGGATGAACTGGCATGAATCAAAGGTAACAGAAAACAATTTCCCTCTAGCAGTTGAATATAAAAATGGGAGAGGCAGAGAGAGAGAGAGACCCCAGGGGGAAAATGTTCCTAGCTATACGTTCAAGGATAACACAGCACTCCTCAAAATGTGATCCAGGCTGCTGGGAAAGGTGTGCGGCATTCGTAGCGGCAGATCGATTCCTCATGGACGTGTACCACAGGAAGCGTATGCGAGAAAAGACAACTAGATGGTACGCTGCATTTAATGTGTCTAAGTTTCCCCGGAGTGGAGATAAGGGGATTAGGCTCAAGAATGGGCTGGCAGGATTTATCCTTTCCCATACTTCTCTGAACCCAACAGAAATCACACCCTACCAAATATCATATTTGCTAGTGCAGGGTGTCATTGTCTTTCTACCAATAACAGCGGTGGGGAAGGGAAAATTTACCCTCCCCACAGTCATGGCCCTGACTCCATTTTTATGCACAGCCCTTGCAGTGTTGGTCGTTTAAATGGCGTGTTGAACACAATTGCTCATCACTTAGCATCTGATCTGGTCCTATGACTTCTGAAGAATGTTGTCGTTTCCCACAATGAAGGGGAACTTGGCGATGGTGTGGAAACAAGCAACCGGTGTGGCAAAGCATCAAACTACACATTGTGCATCAAAATGGTCGGTTTACTGAAAAAAGGAAGTGCAAAATGGAACGTATGGAACCATTGGGAGCATGGAGGAAGAGCACTCTGTAGGAGGTAGGTTTGAATAGTCAGAAGATGGTTGGCTGAGTACTTCCTATGCTTTGTGTTTGTGCCTTCTGGGAAATCCCACGGGAGGGAGAGCCAGAACCAGAAGGGAGCTGCTCATTTGATTCTCCCTTGTCACAGAAGCATGCAAAATCCTACTCCTTAAGATCTGATTCCTACAATTATTGTATAGCTGGT